TTCACCCCCTCCCCCTACCACCACGAAGGTAATGACGCTTGCTAACGAGTCTTCCCACCTTCCAAGCCATGCTCCGCACCTACATTGCAGAAAACGATTGGGTTTAATACGTAAAGGCCTGTGCATTCATATACAACACTTCGTTACACTCCAGCACCGACAATACCCCATTCTTCCTCGTATTCGGCAGAGATCCGGCCTTCACGTTACACTCCAGCACCGACAATACCCCATTCTTCCTCGTATTCGGCAGAGATCCGGCCTTCACATCACCTGCTCATTGAGCACGACCTGGAACGTCACCTACCTTCGTTCAGCGATACAGGAGTTTGCATGGAAAACCTGGTGTCCACCTTACATGCAGCCTGGCGCTCCGCGTCACAGTTTAACGATGAAGCGTGAAAAATACAAACATCATTACCACAGTATCCACTTCCAGCCGCTGTCTGTTGAGGTTGGAGACCGCGTTTACTTACGAGATCTCGCACCAAAACTCGGCCTGTCGTCTAAGCTGTGCAAGCCCTGACTAGTTCAGTTTCGTGTCATCGCAGTATCTCTCACACATAGTAAGCATTTCGTCTCCGCAAACTCTACCAAAGCGTGTGCTTATGGACCAGGTAAAGCCAGGTTATGAACTGACGGGTCCCGTTTTCACCTCAGAATGGCATCTAGACGAAAAGCAACGCTCTCTCGCTGCCGGAGCAGCCGACACTGTAGTGACTGGTGTATTCTCTAGCGTAAGTGAAAAACAATAAACTATTACAGATCAGTCAGTCCCTACTCACTCTTATAATACTCCTTTCAGGTCTCGCCGCACTTCTCTCTGACCGGTGATCCAATACACAGACTTCTTTACGTCTTCACGACATTACGTCCTTAAGACATTCTTTGTTTCTGCCCTGTGTTCTATTCTTCGTTGGGCAGATGGCACTGTTTTTCTCTTCATTGCATTTTCTGCATCGGCTTGACAATTATACAGTTCCTCTGCTCAGCCGCGAAGCAACGCTCCTTCATTCATTTATTCCTCCATGTCCATCGGCCTCTGCACCGTGAAAGCTTGGGGGAAAAACCCGCTATAGTCGCTAGTGCTTTCGCGTTACGGCCGCACCTCCTCTGATCCGATGGATCCGTGGACGACCCGTTGGACCTCGACCAATGGATCAAACTGGTGGGTCCCTTTCCTCCGCACCGGGTTCCGGTTCGGTCAGACTTAAGTCATTTTGTTGATTTATCCTAGAGATACCTCGGTAGAAGACCCGATTACGTGGTCCACCAAGCCTCAACTAGCTTTTGTGTTGAGAGCGCCAATTTCAGAGCTTCCTACCACCGACGCCTCCGACGCCTATGATCACGACATCACTGCGCTTACGGACGAATCACCACCTTCGCCGGCTGCCAACACGCCGATCGACGCGTCGTCCCTCTCGACCTATCGGAAGAAGCACTGTCGCTTCCGATAGGTCGAGAGGGACGACGAACCCAAACTGGATGAGCCCCCTGATGCATCCGTCCTAGCGCGCCATCCCGTGCAAGCGTCCTAGCCCGCTCCATGGAAGACCTCCTCCATAACCCTTCTACCTTGGCGGCCTCCTAGACCGCTAGACCTGCCATCTCTTCCCACATCTCCCGACCAGGGTTGGAAAGTCGTTCCCTCTCGTAGAGTCTGTGGCAACGCGCATGGCGTCGCTTTGGCAGGTCGTGCTCGACGACGTCGCAGGCGCAATCATGCTGAAGCCCAGCCGCGTCGCCCCTCTCCAGCGCGCACACCCCCGCCTCCAACGCTCCCAAACATTGGACCGATGAACTTCAGGCACTACCTTTGTCCCTTCCACCCGTGGGCACAGTCGGTCAATCCCCGACCCAGGGAAATGGTTACTTATAGGTTCCAGGGTGACACCAATGAACTCCTCGTGAACATCTACAGCATAGTGAATAAGGTCTACGGCTTCGTGGGCGTAAGCCCAGCCCCACTCTAGCAGCCCTCTCCGGTGCCACCGGCCAACCCCTTCGCGGGTCCCATCGCGGTCATCCCATCCTTCATAGTTAATGGCACTAAGGTCCAGCTCATAGCTGACCAAGCCGAAGCGGTCCGCTTATCCGTCAGCTCGGGACCGATAGTGGCCATTCCAGCCGCTATCAGAGCCGAAAAAGTATCGAGACCTACCGCGTGCTCCTCGAAAGGTATCTAGCAAATCCCCATCGCTTCGTGAACACGCCCGAGGAAGAGCAGCACGAGTACGATATCACAGAGCTCTCCGTCTCCAGTTCCGTTGCGAGGATGATGCGCATCATGTTTAGGGTGTGCCCTCCCGCCATTATATGTATGACGACGGCCTCCCTCATCAACATCGCGGACAGTAGCAACGGCATCTTCCGTAGCCACATAGGCGTGTACGGCACCATAATCGGTGACGAAGCATCGCAGATCCCGGAAACGGCTTTAACTGCAATATGCGTCTTCCCAACGCACGTCACCGCTACATCGGAGACGTTAACCAGCTCGAGCCTCACGCCCGTTGCCCCCGCACGGCTAATCCCGCCCGCTACGGTGGCGGAATTATGAGGGTTCTAGTGGACGCTGCGGCTGTCCCCGTTGCTCCGCTCACCACCTTCCGAGCACACCCCGAGCTCAACGCGCTACCATGCGTAGTCGCCTATGATGGCGCGCTGGTTAGCGGAGCCGACATAGCCACACGCTAGCTGTTGCTCTCGGCGACCCAGCTGCCCATTCCCAAGGTGCCTTTCCTTTTTCTGGACGTATGGGACCTTCCGAAGGCCTTGGGCAAGTCTCATTACAATGTTAATGAGGCAAGCGTCTGCCTCCAGCTCATCAAGCTGTTGCTTGCCCAAGTTCTCCGCCCCCCTCAGTTGTGCGTGATATCCTTTTGTAAGGAACAATCACTGCACCTGCAGCACTAGATAGACGCACTCAAAATCGAGCTCACGACAGTCGACTCGGTTCAGGGACGCGAGAAAGAGGTAGTCATTCTTTTGACAACATGCACTAATTTTGCCCCTGATTCAGCTGACTTCCTGGATGATTATCGGCGCATGAATGTGGCAATATCAAGATTTCGCCATGGGCAATTCATCCTGGACGAAGTTTCCTCGCTCGTCGTCGTCGTCTTTTCTGTTTTGTCCAGTAGAAAAAAAAACCTTACTAATTGGACGCGGCGTCGCAGTAAGTTTTTTCTCAGAAATAGCGTCAGACGTCTCTTAGTCTAAAGGCAAGTGGTCCGATAAATCCCCAAGACGTGTGGTATTGATACGCCTTACATCACAAAATTTGGAGCTCTAGAGCGACAACTACAGAGCGTTTTCTGCAGGTTTTTTGACGTTCACTTGTCTTTTTCGCCATTTTCCCACTGCCACCAATTTAGACAGTTTCAATATATTGTGTGCGTTATGACTCTAAATAGGATGAACTTCTCGTCAGGAAAGGTCACTCGACCGCGGAAGATTGCTCGACATGCAGAGATCATGCTTGATTCTAACAACCAGATCTGGTTCAAATCCTGCGATGTTCCATCGAATTCAAGACGAGCCGGCTTTCAAGCGCCAACATATCGTGCTGCTGTCTTTGTAAGTTCTTTCGTTACCTTGCTACCGCGCATGTTAGCCCTACTGTCCATTTCGAGACAGACAGCTTCAAGTATGTACGCTGGACCTTTCAGTTGCTTGGGGAGGTTTGCATTTGAAATAGGAGCGTAGAAACTATGATTCTGCTCGTCTTTGGCTACGCCAAACTGCTGAGTCTTGATCATCTTTTTTTCCGCGGATGGACGAAGGCGAAGCGATCCCACGGTGATTTGGGTGGACGTGTAGTACGAAGAGGCTGAAACCTGAAGGACACCTTGTCCAAAACTTTATAGTAGATCTGTTTTGCTGGCCACACTTTTTCCTTCCTTTTTACTCAGCCAATCGAATAGTATGTGCTACAATGTTGAATCAGCTGTTCAAAAAATATTTTTCTTGAAATAAGGGAAGGGAGCACAGTGGTGAACCGTACTGTAAACTGCAATCCAATAAAGAACAAAGGAAAATAGTCGAAAGCTTCATTTCAACTTTCAATGTACTTCTTGTGCAAATACACTGAATGCAATACGGACAATGATTTAATTTGACTTTTTTCCTTCTTCAACGAGCTACTGAACCGTCAAACTGCCACTCGATTCACGCACACTAGAAAATTCTGACATTACATCACCACATTGCTGATTCTGGGTAGTGCGTTTTGATTTCCTTTTGCCAAATACCGTTGTACTGTGTTTTGTGAACTTGAAGAGCTCCATGACAGGACCACTCTCCTTTTTCACTTGCAGCGTGCGACAACTTGACAATGAATGATCTGCTAGAAATGGTAAGAATGGCTTCAGTATCGGGCACGTTCCCGGTTTGGGAACAATTTTTCGCTGATTACGGCACAATCTCCCAAAACTTATTCCTTCAGGACGACCATCCGGAGACCAGACACAACTCCCTACGTTGTGAACGTCGGGTTCTTCCAACACGTACAGTCCCACAAGGTAGAGTGTTTTTCGAAAAAGTTCCTCTACAAGCTTAAAAGAAGTTTATTTCTCATTTGAGGCATCCAAAAACAAGCGTAATTATACGGCGGTAGCCTTATCGAGGGGATATTATGGGAACGTACGTATGGGAAAGAAAATGAGAATGATTGCATTCCTTGATATCTGATGATGATTGAAACAGAGCAAACATTAAGAAGCCAAATCATGACGTTTCTAAGAAGAATCATAGATTAAAAATAAATTTTCGGAAAAGTAGTAGGAATGTAGCACTTTGGGTCAGTCTTGTGTGAAACTAGTGAAATTCACCAGGCAAGATCACGACGAGTTACGATAGCTAGATAAGATGTGCACAGGTAACTTTCAACAATTTAATGATTACTATCGTCGCGGAAAGTCAGACACCCAGACAATATTCCTACTACTGATCTGGATAATGTAAATGTCATTTCTGTGAATCTCGTTCAAAAAATGTCACGGACATATGTAAACGGAAGATAAAACGCGACCTTGATCTGAGGGGGAAAACGCTTGCGGCGTTCCAGGAATAGCTCCCACACTAGCTACTCCTTGTTTTGGCGGCCATTGAGCGTTGATCTTTCCTGCACTTCCTGGTGGTCCACCTGGAGGTGCTCCACTAGTGCCTTGGAGCCCAGTTCCGCCAGCTGGAGCTGGAGACGACGGGCGAGCAGGTTGTGGCGGGCCGGTAAATGCGTTGGCCACCTGTGTTGGTCGAGGTGGAGCTGGAGCTGCCCCCATTTGCGGTGCGCTTTGTGACGGCCTTGGTGACGCACCATCCATTGGCGAAGCACACGGCGATGGTACAGGTGGCGCTGCAGGAACACCACCGAACGATGGAGGTGGTGCTTGTCCGGGAGGCGCTGGTGGGGGCATTTGTCCAGGAAGCGGTGGTTGTGGCACTTGTCCATTCATCGGCTGAGGTGGCATTTGTGCAGGGATTGGAGGAGGTGGCGTTTGCACATTCAGCTTCAAGACGTAGTCGTCAAAAGATGCCTTGAATCTGGCGAACTGCTGAAAAATAGTTTTTACAGCTTTCAAAATCATTTGGGCAACAGTATAATTATGATTGAGCTCGAAATGGAGGCAGACTTAACAGTTTCGCCAGTTCCTTCTGCTGTAAAACTTTACTCGAGTACGAGTAACGAGTATAACATCGAGTTTTCAGCAGGAACCGACACGGGGCATTCCAGAAGACTGTGTTCTTCCTCAACTCACATTGAGAAGCGCTGGCTGATTCCAGTAACCCATGGCTCTGCCATATTCGCAGATTGCTTCTGCTATGTATACGTACTGGACCTCCACTTGGACGCTATGCATTCGCTGATCTGAGTAAGATGCGTTTAGGAACAATCAGCACTATGCGTACAGTTGGTGACGCCCCAATTAGTCGGTGAGATGTCAGTAGAGGCGGAATGAGCTTGCCTACGGCTGTGTTATTCCACCACTGGTGATGGGTTGTTGGCCGTTTTGGGAGGAAAACAACCAATTAGCACTATGCGTACAGTTGGTGACGCCCCAATTAGTCGGTGAGATGTCAGTAGAGGCGGAATGAGCTTGCCTACGGCTGTGTTATTCCACCACTGGTGATGGGTCGTTGGCCGTTTTGGGAGGAAAACAACCAATGGTGGAAGGGCCTTGGGTGGCACATCGTATTCGAAAACGCCCCGACCCATTGCGACGACACGGTCCGTGTACTTCTCAAAGAGGCCTGAGGAATGTTTCTGACCATAATCTAGAGAGAGAAGGACTGTAACTGCCCTTACCGCGTAGTTTTTTACAAACATCCAGCAAATTGAGTTTTTGTCCAGCTAATAGCGTTTGTAAGCACATCTCTATTGCGACCTTAATAGCAGCATTAGGAGTCATATCTACAGTTTAAGAGTGCATCTCCTTCGTTCAATAATAGCTTGAGAATTCAGCCAACCATAGATCCTGTTCGACCGATACCAGCTGAGCAGTGAACAACAATTGGGTTAGAGGAGCTGCGAACAGACTGCAAAATTCGGAACACCGCCAGTAAAGACTTCGGAACAGTTTTGTCCGGCCTGTTGGAACGAAAAATATCAGGAAATATTTCTCTGTGAAGATGATAGAGCCAGCCCATGGAGATGGCGTTTCTTTTTAGTCTCAAGTAAACTCCAAATATTAATTATATCATGATGTTTCACTAACTTCTTTTGTTCTGTTCTACGAGATCTGCGAGGGAAAGGACAGTAAGATATGAGCCTTCCGGATGCTAAGGCAGTTACGTTGGCAGCTAATAGTCGGCCAGCACCTCCGCATCTCTTCCTCCGGTAAACTATTAGTAGAGATCATGTCTTCTCTGTAAGACTTCCCTAGGCGATCCTGGTCGTCTTCCCTCTAAGCGTAAGCTTTCTTGGAAAAGGGATAGGGAAAGGGAGAGCTGCCGCTTGAGGGGTTCTTACTTCAACTGGATGCCTAACAAAAGTATGTGAACACCCCAAACTCGGACTCCGCAGGAACACCTCCGATCTTTGTCAAATGGGACCTTCACTGTTCAAGTCCTCCGGTATGAGAACCATAATGTACGTTATTCCCTCTCGTAGGCGACTTGACATTTTTTTGATTGCTGGGGAAGTTTCCTTGTACCAAAACTGTGTGGACACCTGAAGAAAAATAGAAAAAAATCTTAGAAATGAGAGTCTGGTAGCTCCTTTATGATTTTGTGCTAGTTGGTTATTTTATCCGGCATGTCCTTGAACGAGGTTCCTCATGGTTGTGTGTGTGTGTGTGTGTGTGTGTGTGTGTGTGTGTGTGTGTGTGTGTGTGT